AGTTGTGTCCTTGACATTTCAACTGGTTTCTTTGCATTCTCAGATATCAAGAACGAATCGTTGTCTCAAAGTAATGCCAGTTTCTAATAATCAATAACATAAAGTTACAAATTTGTTGTGAACCTCATCCGCCTGGATCAGTGGTTTCAGTCCAATCGTTATCATGTTTCGTTAACGGGATCGCTTTTGAGGCGCCTTTTTCCCTGCACAACACCGATGACAATGATTGACGCAATTCTTTTTATAACCTTTTTCAGCCATAACATGGCGTGGCGTGGGGAAATGGAAAAAAATTATATTCTTAATGTGATATTTTTGAGAAGCATGACGCTTTTACGATGCAACTGTGATACGTGATTTAAGGGAGGTAATTACTGGTGTAAATTTTTCTTTTCTTTTCCCGTACAGGGTCTTCAGGAGCTCTGTTATGCTCATGGTATCCCAACTCCCTTCCTAACCCTTACCTTGTCATGCCAAAAACGCATCTCTTGTCGACCAGAGTCTTGAACAAAATATCAGGCGTGCCTTTGACCATTGGTAAACGGCCAGATCTTACACTGAATTGAAAGTCGACTATTGTTATTACAATGAGCGGGTGTCAAAAGTCATGTCTGCGTCGTCTGTGGATCGCTTGTCTATGCTTGATTGAAGAGGAGCAAAGTTTTAGGAAAAGACGCCAAACAGTCCCATATTCAGGACCGATTGTTGGGCTAAATTGGTGCTCTTATGATCGAGTCCAACTTAGTCGCCCCTTCCGAAATGGAAAAATGGTTTAAATTATTCAAACGACCTTATATTTTCTAACAAGTAAACCGCTTTGGATTGCAAAATCTATGATAATACGAAATCCAATTTGCATCCTGATGTCCAATTAAGGCTCATTGCAAGTCCATGCCCAATCGATCAACAACACTCCAATGCGGACTTCGGAACCCCGCAGTCTGATCCCCCCCCCCCCCATCCCTGTCATTTTCTACACCAAAACCGCACATTGGCGTGCGGGATCATAGCTCATCCGAAACGGCGGAGCAGAGGTCGTAGTTCGCATGCTGCGGGTAGGGCTTGCGCATGTCACGCAACGTTTGAGCTGACCTGAGACCGACCGCTGGGATGCGGCCGCTGCAGAAGCCATTTAGCGGTGAAAGCATCGCTGTTGCGTGCGGAGGAGGAGCCAATATACTTTGGCCCGGGAATGCTAACCCAGCTACTGCAGAGTATCCAAAATCCGGCTGTGAAGTAGATAGATGGATTTTTCGGGCACGTCTGTTTTTTTAAAAGCAGTTTCCGGTTTGTGTGGCTGATGATGCTGAGCTGTGACCTTGCCGTTTTCAGAGGATGGAAGCGATAGATGAACTATACAGAACTCCTTTTCCTGGTAGGTCGTAAAATAACTTTATGATAATCTCGTGTCATAAAGCCGCAGCAGGCTCGACCACTGAATCCAATCTTCTGGGTCCGAGCAACACAGCATACCTGCAGCAACAGAAAAGCGGTCTTTATGAACCTTGGACCCTATGAGCATTGCATATGCTCAAAGGTTCAATGCCTCTTCCGAGCCCGAGATTCCCACTCTTTTTTTCTGTGTCAGGGCTGTGTCAGCGGGCGGGCTCCGGCGGGACCAGACAGAGCCTTCCCTTGTGTCGTTCTACCTTGTGCAAGGCCTCTGTCAGCTGGCGGCTTCTGCCAGGATCACACAGGGCATCCCCTTCTGTCCTTCTCCCATGTGTCAGGGCCTCTGTCAGCGGGTGGCTCCCGGCAGGATCAGACAGGGCCTCCATTCCTCCGTCCCTCTCCCTATGCCAGGGCCCTCTGTCAGCGGGTGGCTCCCGGCGGGGCCAGGCACGGCCTCTGGGCGAGCCGGGCCGGCCGATACCGGGCCGGCCGCTAATGCGGGGCTCGCGTGCCGGCGGGGCGGCTCGGCTGGTCGGCCGTCGACCACCGCACCGCTCCCGCCGCCGAGGCACGAGGCAGCGCCGACCACCGGAGCTCTCGGCCGACCCGCCAACCAGCTGATGATGTCACGGGACCGATGGCACGGACCTGACGTCACAGTGCTAGTGATACAGACATGACGTCACAGGCCTGCTGGGTGTAACGGGATCGATGGCACGGACCTAACGTCATAGTGCTGGTGATAGACATATGACGTCACAGGCCGGCTGGGTGTCACGGAATCGATGGCACAGACCTGACGTCATAGCGCTGGTGATAGAGATATGACGTCACAGGCCGGCCGGGTGTCACGGAATCGATGGCACGGACCTGACGTCACAATGCTGATTATACATATATGACGTCACAGACCTGCCGGGTGTCACAGGATCAATGGCACAGACCTGACGTCACAATGCTGGTGATCCAGATATGACGTCACAGGCCTGCTGGGTGTCACGGGACCGATGGCACGGACCTGACGTCACAGTGCTGGTGATGCAGATATGACGTTACAGACCTGCCGCCACAGGTCTACCGTCACGGATCCGCCCGCTCCGAGCTGCCGCCACAGAATTGTCAACGTACATGTTACATATATGTGCGTAGTCGAAAACGTCATAAAACCATTCATCTGTTCACATAACTTTGTGGTCTCGGGCAAATATTATCCACGATCAAGCCCAGGCCTCTAAACTGCTAAACCACTCCTGGGCACATCTGGGTCGGCTGCTCCGGCGCTCCGATAGTTGGAGACGTAGGCCAACTCACGGGCATTGCGCTGTGCGAAATCCCCACAAACATTGCCTGGCGACAGGGCGCCGGTGCCTGCCTGTCGCCAAACGCTGCGGGGGGCAACATTGGAACGCATTGGAGCGCAAGGGGTGCAGTTGCCGGGTCCGGAGGTAACAAACACTCCTCGTCCGGTCGTGGTGGCCATGCTCGGAATGTTTTCTCTATCCTGAGCTGGACGGACGTAAGCTATTGCGACGGCGCCGTTACATCGGCGTTGCATGAGCTGTTAATATTTAGCGATGTTCCCACAGCACTTGGTTTGCAGATCCAGTAGTTGGCAGTTAGCGGCATGGCGCGCCTGTCGTGTACCGGCGACGCCACGCACAGTTTTACCTGCGACGCCGCCCATTATGAGATCGGGAAGTGTGCACAACTCGTGTAATCGTGCATTATTTACTAGCGCGTGCACGGCTGAAGTTGTTAGCAGCGTAGCCTCTTTCGTTCGGTGTGTCGTTGGACCGGTGAAATACGCAGTAGTTACCACTTACCAGAGCCGGCTCGTATGATTTGTGTAATGCACTTGGGCGTGGACGCGGGAAAGCTGCTGAGGTTAGAGCTCCCAGTCTGGGAAACGGCGCGAAATCAAGCTGGTTCGTCAGGTATCGGGCGCGTTATATGAAAATTGGTGAAAAATTATGAAAATTGAAATGATGTATGAATGTAAAAATGAAATGTGAAAAATATGAAAAATATGTGAAAATATTGCCATAGGACATTGGTCTACAGTCTTGAATATTTTCAGCTCGCTTGTACGCTCCGATAGTCGAAAAGTTGTGGGAGGTTCCCTGCATTAGGAGCCGCCATGCCTGGAATATTGGTGTCTGTCTCCGCTGGCGCTCACGGCTCCCACTGCACTGCCGTCGTGTGTGTTGATAAGGTGCGAGGCGCGGTGTCAACACGGATGGCTTCGAAAGGAGGACACGCTGCATGGACACGGACGCTGCCTGCGGTGTTGCTCTTGAGGTACCGGCTAGCGCTGCGGCATTCTCTGCGTCGCTACTGGGATGGATTTCCATCAGACGCGAATAGGTCACACCATCGCCAGCGGGACATTGACCTCCTTCACCCGGTCTGGTGTTCGGTGACCCGGTGATGAGCACGCCGTCGATGGGTCACGAAGGCTGACTCGCCCGGCACCACTGCCCGGCACCACTGCCCGGCACGCGTCTCACCCCATCAGACCCGTAAAAGGTGCGCTGACCCGGGCCCCTCTTCCCATCTACCCCTGTTAACCTGGCGCATCGCTGGGGCACCGACTCGCGCCTCTCTTCGTTGTGATCCTGAGCTCGCCCCTGTCGCCCTGTACTCGGCTGGGCGGCGGCCGGGCGTGGCCATACACAGACGGCTCCTGGGGATCACAGGCCGATTTACAGGGGTCCAATATGCTCTGATGGCATACTTTATGGCCAAAGCGCACACATAGTTTAATTTGCACGAGATTGACTGGGGTCAAGCCTGCCGACCCCGCTGGTGGTCGCGCTCACGGGAGAAGGCTATGCTCTGTGGGGACCATCGGCCGCGGGCATAATGTATCTGTCCCATCACTTTGGCGGATGACGTGACTACAACCGGATATGTTGAAAGAGGAGGAGTGACATATCATCCCCGTCAGCTCGGTGATGGGGAAGACAGGCAGTCATGACTGTGATCCCACAACGGAGTTGCAGTCATGACATGAAAACAAAGAAATATATCGAGCGGTGCATAGAACGGACGGACCCGAAATGGGCTCCACGCTACGAACGTGTTGGGATAGTTTTGCCTCTGCCAGGCGTTAATGTTGTGATCTACATAGCATTTGATACGACTGACCACCACGTGATGTCCGGTCGCGATCCTGCTGTGAACTGAAAGCCATATCGGGCCTGTGTCACCTGACTTTTAAACAGGGGCGGCGACAAAATGACCTACGACAGACCGCGCACGAACAGAGCTGGCTGCGTAGTACAAGTAGTGTCGGGCTTCGCACCATGGCCCGGGCAAGGTATTGTATACGGCGAGGGCAGGAACCCGTGTTGATTATAACCGGTTAAGCGATCGAGACTAGCCGAGACCACGCCATCGCTCTGTAGGTGACTGAAAGAGGTGTTCAGCAGAACTTCTAAGCTGGCAGATGAGTCGACGGCTGGCCTCCCGCCCGTCCTCGGGGCCGAGGCGGGCGCGTCGGGCGGGGTTCGCTAACGGCTGCCTGCCCGCCTCTGTTGCAGATGAGCGTGCCGCGGGCGTGATGCTGCCGGCCGCCCGCCTGCGCCTGCTGCCGCTGGCGGCGCTAGTGTCGCTGGCGTCGGCCTTCTGTCCACAGCACTGCCGCTGCGACGACGCCCGGCTGGAGGCCAACTGCTCGGGCGCCCAGCTCGACAGCTTCCCGATCGCGCTGAATCCGCGCCTGAAGAGGCTCCTGCTGGCCGGCGGCGGCATCCGCCAGCTACACCGCAACATGATGGTCTCCTCATACAAGCAGCTGGAGGTGCTGGACCTCAGCCGGAATGGTCTGCGGGACTTGCAGCTGGGCAGCTTTGCGCACCAGCACCGGCTGCGCGAGCTGCGGCTGGCTGGCAACCGGCTGTCGCAGCTGGCGCCGCGCGTGCTGGCCGGGCTGCAACAGCTGCGCGAACTGGACCTCAGCGGTAACCAGCTGCAGAGCCTACCAAGCGGCCTGCTGCGCACCGTGCCTCTGCTCGAGGACCTCAACCTGGCTGACAACCAGCTGCATCTGCTACCGGCAGGACAGCCTGGCGGGCGGCGCCGGCCTGCGGCGGCTCAGCCTGGCCGGCAACCGGCTGCGGCAGGCGCCAGCGGCGGCGCTGGCGCAGCTGCCGCAGCTGGCGGTGCTCGATCTCTCCTCCAACCGGCTGGCGCAGCTGGACGGCGGGGATCTGGTGCTGCCTGAACTGACGCACCTCAGCCTTGCTGGGAACCGGCTGGCGCGGCTGGACAGCGCCGCGTTCGCAGACCTCGGCTCCCTGCGTCGCCTCGTGCTCTCCGACGCCGGGCTAGCGCGCCTGGAGGGCGCCACCTTCGCGCCGCTCGCGCAGCTTGAGGAGCTCTACCTGGACGGGAACCGCCTGCGGCGGCTGGGCGGCGAGCCGCTGCGCGTGCTTCCGCGGCTCCGACTGCTCTCCGTGAGCGGGTGTCCGCTGCTGAGCGCGCTCGAGCCGGACGCCTTCGCCGCCGGGCCGGCGCTCCAGGAGCTCCTGATCGAGCGCAACCCGCGCCTGACGGCCGTGCCGGCCGGCGCCTTCCTGCGCCTACCACGTCTGCGTCGGCTCAGCCTGCGCGCCAACGCGCTCGCCTGGCTGCCAGCCGACGCCTGCGCCTGGCCGCGCTTGCAAGCGGGCCTGGGCGACAACCCGTGGTTGTGTGACTGCGCTTTGCGCTGGCTCGCCGAGGCGGCAAACAACGACAGCTGGGGTGGCGCCGCTTGTGCGCACCCGCCGGCGCTGCGTGGTCGACCCGTGTCCGGTCTCTCGGCGGAGGAGCTGGGCTGCGCGCCGCACCGCACAGCCCCGCCCCTGGCGCTGGCCGCGGCGCTGGCTGGGGTTGCTGGTGGCGCTGGCGCTGACGGCCGGCGCGCTGCTCGCCTGCCGCCGCCGGCGCCGGCTCCGCAAGCGGCTCCAGGTGTTCGGCTGGCGGGGCCGGCCGGCCGCGTCCGACAAGGCGCCGCCGCCGCCGCCGGCCGCCACATACTACTATCGGGACGCACAGGGGCTGGACGGTGGCGGGGACTGTCAGGCTGGTGCCCGTCACAGAACTGTGACCGCCGCATGGAGCGGACCTGGGGCGAGACGTGAGCGATTCCAACCTGAGCTGGCGGACCGCAATAGACCTGGTCCTCCGGGGGGCTGCAATGGATCTGGTCCTGCGGGAGATCGCAGTGGACCTGGTCCTCCGGGAGGCCGCAGTGGATCTGGTCCTCTGGAAGACCGCAGTGGATCTGATCGTCTGAGGGGACGACGGTGGACCTGGTTCTCTGAGGGGCTGTAAAGGACCTGGTTGTCAGGAGAATCGCAGCAGACCTCGGGAGAGACCGGAACGGGTCCCGGGCCGACCCGCGCTGTGAAGTGCACCAAAGTGGGAAGCGGAGGGGAACACGGTAGGCCGCTAGTCTGGCGGGAGTGAGGTGATCGTGCCGCGCGATTGTGGCAGGGGCCCGTCTGTGATCGACCGAAAACGCTGCCGTTGCGTTCAGCATATCATAGATACTGGAGTGTTCCGGTTGTGGACTGATTGCCTCGGATTGACTGAGCTGTTGAAGCGACGCTGGGCGTGGATGCAGTTGGAAAGATGCGATGCAAGTGTCGTGTGGTTGATGCTTCCTTGGTCTGTAAAGCCATGCTCATGCATTGGCATTTCGGTATTTGCGGTTATTCGCGTGCATTGTGAGAACCGTGGCGGCCAGTATCGCGTAAGTGCTCATGCCCAGGTGTACTTTTCACTTCATCTTGTCATAGAACGATGTTATCCCAGATGACGTCGGTTAGAACACATCAGCTAACGCTGTGTTTTCTATGTTTTGACTGATTGGACATGTCACCTCAAGTTGTGATATGTCACGGAAGCCGGCAGCAGTTGGTCGGAAAATGGTCTTGGATGTGGTCGGAAAATTCGTAGGATGTATCTTTGGAATCATCAGTTTTTTAAGGTACCGTTACTGTTCATCTTTCACTGTACGTGTCATGCAAACATAGCCTTCTTCATTTTGATTTGTGTCGTGTTGCAAGCTTCCAAGCCACGCAAGTGCCATGTCTCGAACTTCCTTTTCGATCGATCTTCGAACTTCTCGATCAGGCGTTCCAAAGAAAAATTGAGAGGAAGTTGCACTATTTCAGGAGGGCGGTATCAGTCTGGATGGAGATCTGGTTTTAGAATATTAATAGCCTACTCGTTCGAGGCAAAATAAAACTAGATCAGGTTTTTGATAGGTCTGGTTCCTCAATAACAGTTCGGCATCGAATAGAGTCCTAGAATGTAAACATGCGCGTGCAATTTCAACTGAATGTCGAAGCCTGCACATGGCCACCGGTATAACTGCGCCCATTATTGTGCATTGTGATTGGTGCAGATCACTCCGGCCTAAGACCCACTCTTCAACGCTGTAGATGGTCATGCGTTCGACTTGCGCGAATATTTCTATCCGCCTTAATTCCTTCACTGAATACAGTCGTAACAGGCAGCAAAGCGAACGCCCTGGTTTCAGCCACGCCATCAAAACATCAATCTCCGCCTGCATGCAAGCAGGCGATTGTGGACTGCAGAGCCGCAGCTATGCTGTAACAAGTGCACGGTGCGTTGTTGCCTGATCAACGGTAGTGCATGCAGCGAGACTATAGCTCGCAGCCGCCATGGCCCGCTGACTGGGTCAGCGGAGGGTTAGGGTCGGGACAACCCCTCCCCCTCCCCTGGACCGCAGAGTTGAGAACCGCGCCACCGCTCACAGGTCCGACGCTGCATTCATGCATGCATATCAAGGCATTATTCGCATACATTGAGCATCACATTGTCACAATGTCTTGTGACGCTGCACTCTTGGAATGCACCGCCGGAACAGCTCGCTGTCTGGGAAACACGACGTGGCCTTTCCTGTGGCCCGGGCCCGACGGCGACGGCCGCCGGCCTCTGGCTGGTGGCTCCGAAATACTATCCAGCTGACTGGCAGGAACGCTTTGCTGCTGATGTGCGCATACGTCGCCACTGAAAGGCATCGTATCGCTGTTGGCCTGGAACAGTACGGGATGCTTCGTGAGCTGAAGCGCAGAACGGGACGGCAAACGTCCCCAGTGGCACGTTCGGATTTCAGCCGACGCCGTGATTCATGCGGCAAGAAAGGCGGCATGCTACGCGTCGCGCAGTTCACGTGCAAGTTTTTGTTCAATCCTGGCGCCTGGTGGCAGGCTGGTAAAATCGTTTCGGCACGCCGCTAATCTGCAGCGCGCGGATTATCCTCGCGCTCCGCCGGTGTCGGTGGCCTCTGGGCAAGACTGAAGCTCACTTGATATACGCGCTCCGCCTGTACACGTAACAGGTTTGAGTTTTGCCGGTGTTAAAATGTATGTCTGACCCTCGAAGCTCTCAGTTTGTTCAAGGCGCGAAAAGGATCAGGTGAAAAGTACACGCCGAAAAATTAAAGGAGTAAATTAAAGGAGTGTTCCACATTTATGTGGAGCTTTGGACTGAGACAGCCATCTTGAAGGGCTGTCGGTGCTGTTCACAATCCTGCCATTCTTAAGGCCTGAGCCCTTTCAGTATCTGAGCTACATGCCCTCGAAAATGGGGAGAAGTATATCGGGCAGATATCAGTCACCTTGCCGTTCGTAACGTCATAACAGCGCCTCTCAAGTCCTGCTTTTCCATAAGCCATGCGACGAGCAAGGCCAAGAAAAATATATTTCTTGAGACGTTCATATCTGGCATTGGAGAGCGCGATTTCTAGATATAACAACTGTCAATTGACTCTCAATTAATGTTGTGCGAGGTACAATATGTGATCAAATCATGACGCATTGAAGGGCACGTTTACTAAACAGGGAGTTGTGCTGTCTAGAGCAGTCTTCTCAAATTAAAAAAAAACATGTCAATAGTTATAAGTGAGCTTTTTTCGTCATGTCTGATGCTTGCTCTAACATCTTCGAATGCGAAACATTCCCTTTAACACGCACTCTGTTGGCTCACATTGACCCCCCCCGAAGGTTTTTCCGGAATGGTTTCCGAACGGCGCGGCGTAGCCGCGCCAAATTTTGCATAGTTGTAGGCAATTGAATAGCAGATCGTCTGGCATCAATAATTTGGACGTATCTTGTAGAGTCGCTGACCTATTGCCGGTCAAAGTCAGACCATGGTTTTAGCGGGGACAGTTTCTAGGAAATTGTTCATTCTGATCCAAGAACTGAGTGTCAGACGAGGCCATACATCTCTGACATACCCTCTTAGGTGACACAACAATTTAATTAACAAATTACATTGACCTAAGGTCAGGTATGAAGGTCGGACCAGGGTTAAAATCAAACTGTTTTATTATTGTAGGGCTTGTTGAGTGGGGTAGATTTTGGTGCTCATTTCGAATGTATTAATAATAGGAACTGCATTAGACTCCTTTCATGGACTTTTTCAAGGTCAGAATAGGTCACTGATCTAAAATGATCCGGGGCAATATTTTGTTTTTAGGAGCATACTGCCCAGCGAAATCTTTGTTGCTTGTCCAAACGCAAAACTCAAAACGGTTCCGTACGTTTCCGGTCACCATAACCTTCAAAAGGTCAAACAAGGTCACTGACCTTTGATGGGCATGCGAATTTTTGCTTGGAACAGTTATCTAGGTTTCAGGGTCTAGTCTAAGACCAGCCTGGAACTCGACCTTGTTTGACCTTATTTGACCCAAAGATCATGACCTAGGAACCTCAAACTTTGACCTAGGTAAGTTTACGTACAGGTCAACACACCCAGCGAATTGAAATCGATGTTTCTTGCTCCCTTAGTTCCTGAAATCTCAGCGGGTCAAATCGACCCCCCACCCGGGCGGAAGGCATCCAACCGGTCACCCGCGCGGGTGTTGAGTGAGGTTTATAAGTTTACGATTCAAACGTGCCTAGAGTAGCATTTACGACAAAAACATGGGATGTGTTTGGTTGTTTTGGGACAAAAGTGCGCGTGGGAAAAGTACGCATGCACATAGGCGTAGGAACGTTTCAAGAAGTGGGGGGGGGGGGGGGTGGCAAACTCAGGGTGTACTTCAGGAACTTTTTCTGGAAAGCAAGCCCGATATCCGGGGAGGGGGGGGGGGGGCAGGGAATGGAGAGGCTGTTAATATGCATCTATGCAACTAGAGCTGTTTCTCACTGGTGCACAATCTTGCCTGTTCGACTCATCTGTCATTTGGCAAATAAGGCTACCCAGCTCCCTAGATTATTCGTCCATTTGAATATTCTCTTTCCCGGGGAGGAGAAAGTCCACGAGCGGGTAGTCATTTTGGGTCATTGAGGAACCATCTGCCTCCAGAGTGTAAATGCCGAAATACGGCCTGGATATATGCTGGTGAGAATTTTAAAAGTGGATCGACGGCTCACAGTGCGGCAGATTTTTCATGCGCTTACATTTCGCTGGCTGTTTTTCAAGAGATAAGACTTGTCGCAGTATTTTAGGCGAAGAAATCGGGAGCCTGAAACTGCTAGCAGCAATGTGACAAAAGCCATAAAACTGGACACACTCTCTTAAGAACTAAGCCACATAATAAGGCCCATCTGTCATACGTTTCTTATCTGGGCCCTGCTCCTGTCCGCCGTCGGTGGCCACTGCCCTGGCCCGGATGTTTCCCTCATGACTGACTGCGAACTGATCGTATGGCTGCTTTGTTGCATACTTTTGGATTAGCGTTACTACTTCATAGTGTATGCAACATGTGTTGGACACCTGCAACAGTATCTTTTTCAGAATTATTTTCCCTCACAACAAACCATCGCAGAACAAAGCCTCCGGGAAGCTGTCTGCCTTAGGCATGAAATTGTCCAAAGGACACTTCATTGCTCATCATGCAACGTATGCGACTTGGTCTGCTTTTGTGTGTAGGCGGGGGTGTAGTCAGAGCCTTGCCAAAGGGGAACACGAGGTTGACAAAAGCCCATGCTATGGGGGTCCCCCCCAAAAAGATATTCGGATATAGGTTACTTGTCAACAAGTGACGCAGCTTTCTTCGTTTTATTGTTATTTTTACCATGTAACCAGAAAAGAAACCAAAAGGTACCGTGATCTCAGTTCCGTTTGTATGTTGAGACTAATAAATTGCATAAATCAGGCGCTG